TAGATATTGCACAAAAGAAAACCTTTCTAAAGTAACAGAGCAAAAATTTTCCCACCAGTATGACTTCGGCGAGAATCTCATATTGAGCACGTTGATGCATGGCGTCAATTGCACGTAGCGCCAAATCAGGTGCTCCATTGAATAATGCCATGTACACACCAGTGAGCAGCTCCAGTAGCAATGCACTATTTACATGCTGACGGGGTTTTCTGAAAGGCAGGAATTGGTTAAGGTCACAGATTACTAATCAACTCGAAAGGGGATGCCCGCGATCGCCATTTGTTGGGTTGGGAAGTATGAAGCAAATGAAACCAACTTAAATGCCCTAGATAACAACCCCATATCTACGAGAATTTTTGAGGATTTTGTGGGACGAGGAAGGAGGAAAAGTCCCCTAAATCTTCATACAGCTGGGAAATAGTTCGCTTACTGGTCACAAGCTAGGGTAAACAGGTTAGCATAATGGCAAACTCACTTTGAATGGTCTTCCACGACTTCGCATGAATTATCTGACTCCATCACTTTACTAACGAAGTTCGTTTCGGGAAATGTAAAACCACTCTCACATATGGACAATGTAGCCAGACAGACATGCCTTGATACAACGTCCGAAGAAAGGTAAACCAAACTTCCATTGACCTGAAAGTGCGAGATCAGAAAAACCAATGCTAATAAACTGCCACCGATAAAAAATTTGGACACGCTTAGAAAAACTGGCAAAGTTCGGCGACGAAGGTGGGGGAGGGGGGCATTTTGCTCTTTTGCTGCTTCCCATTGTCGTTTCATTGCTTCACAAGAGTTGACAGGTATTCCTTACAAGAGTTGACAAGTATTTCCACAATCTTTGACTGGCAGGCTTCATGGCTTCACGAAATTTCATGACTCGATGTGACGGCGAAAAGCACCAAGTGCAAAATCCTTCCCCCCTCGTCGAACTGCGCCAGAAAATCAAAAATTCATCGAGAAATTCTGAGATCCATGTTTAATAATAGCAGAAAATATTCGTATAACGCCTCACCGACTTCATAATCCGCGACAATATAAGAAATTTCGATTCGGAATTGAATTCTTCAATGGTAGGGTAAGGGCCGACACGTACTGTGGTCTGGAAAGAATTGACTTTCATAAATGCATACAAAGGACCGTAAAGTACTTGCAAGTCGATTCAAGGTAGGACTTCTACAAATAAAGTCAGAGCATTCCAGAAACTACTGAACGAAAATGGACAAAAGAAAAAACCAGAGGAGTACTGTAGGCAGATGAAAACAAAATAAAAGAGGAAACATAAAAGAAACATACCAGAACCGATGGTACGTTTCCCGGTTTCATTATCGTGACCTCTGGTAATCCACTGATTTTAGTAGGATCATGATAGATGCTTGGATAGCGAATCGACGGGATGCGGATCTCATCGACCTTAACAGAGCCAGTAAGAAGACTAAGTTGTGTATTAAGAAAGCTAGCAAAAACGACTCCAAAGACGGCGATCCATGGAACAGAGATTTGAATGGTTACAAGGCGGAACTTCAGACGGTGATCAGCCCCTTCTTGTAACCGACCACGCATTCCACATCCTTTCATCGCAGGGAAATGTACTATACAATGACTGTGGTGGGCGGGGGGGGGACATGGACAGTCGCTGTAGGAGCCAGTGTTTGCAACCAATTAGACAAGTATGGTGGTACAAGTTGCCCGAGCTTAGGATGGAAAGCTTCGCTAGCCCGTGAGAAGAACCGACCCCTGTTTCGAGTTCCAAACTTCGATAGTTGGCTCCTATTACGCCACCTCCACCCTCCGCCCGAACGAATCATACCTACGTAATTATTACAATGGGTTCCGAAAGGGGTGGCATGAAATGAACAAGTTGAGTGAAGCAAATGCGGTGCTGTGATGATTGTAAATATAGCGCGACCCTTTACGATCCTAAGACGTAGTGCGGAAAAAGGGTCGAGTCAAGGGGCAAATTTTGGAGCGGATAGATCAAACCCAAGACGGGCCTACTCCTTGACATCGCCTGGGAATGGAAGGAGGAGCAGCCTACGAAAAGATTAGTGACTCATTGATTCCTACCTTTTTCGTCATGTTCTCCGACTGTGGACCGCCGTCTAATATCTCTTCATTGTACACAGCAAGAAAGAAGATTTCAAATACGGCGACACTCTTTTGTTGTTTCTTAGACAGGGCATAAAGATACGTGCCGATAAAAGACGGTATGAACTGCAACGCGTATTGCCTGAGAATACCTGAAATAATGAACAAAATGAGAAGCGACACTACTACTAGACTTATTTTGTGAAGACTTTTGCGCAGAACTTCGTAAGCTCTCTCTCTCTCTTCGATGGACCAGTGCTCAAATAAAAATTCGATGGGAAGAACCCGGGACATGGAAATGTAAAAACGATAGAAGTCGTGATTTTTATCGAG